TCAAGGCAACTTTCTTGTGCTGCACTTTTTCATTCCTTCACGTGCGATTCTATTATTTCTTTATATGAAACCGAAAGGTGAAAAAACGAAAGTGAGTTTTTCGAAAATTCATACTACTACATACATTGACCCGTCGTTGTTTTGGCCAGCTAACACAAATTTCTAGAAGCTGAAACATATACTTTGAAAGCTCAGCTTGCCAGCTATCGATTCAAATGTTAAACTTTTTATTTTAAAGACTTTCATGAAAACAAAAATGAGGTTTTTCGTCGACTAGCCCAAAATCGACTTTTTATACGGGGAACAGAATCGGTCCAAATTTTCGCCAAAAGTGGCGTCACTTTTCGCGCCAAAATGCGAACAGTGATCTGAATCTAGAGATACTTTGCTGACCATCGCTTCATATAATAAGCTCTTGAGGAAGTAAATTTGGACTGATTCTCTTCCCCGTATAAAAAGTCAGTTTTGCCCTAATGCCACTACACATGCGTAGTATAGGCGGTGCGCCAACCTCCGATCCAGCTGAAACTTTCAGGAAATATTCTTTTGTATGTGTGCATCTACATAATTAGCAGAAAGTTGCAGAACTGTTTCTTTGCGGAGTTACAGATTTTTACACAGAAGCGTACGTTTTTAGAAGTTTTTCGTTGTTTTTTATGCTTAAAAGTCACTTTGCCCCCAGAAATAAGGACAGATTCGGGATCAGCGTGAAAAACTGCATCGAATGATATATAATTCAAAACATTTTTCTACAGAAAAGTTTTCAATCACACTGAATCGCAGCGTAGGAGCACTACCGCAGAAAACTTTCATTCTGCATGTAGAAATATGTTGCAGAAGTGGAAGATACGTCTATAAACACACTTTCTATAGGTTTCCGAATATGCTCTTTCCAATGATGAGATTTTCGAAATCCTAAAATACTTTTTGTGGGTTTTCTGAAGGCCGGATCGCTAAAAAACTCAAAAAAATTTTTTGCTCGGTCAACTAAATGATCTGAGCATTCGATCCAATAAAACTAGAGGATCAGAATCCGAACGGTTCGTTTTAGGCTTTTGTTGGATGTCACCGTCGGTTCTAAAATTTCTGATTGAAATGAGACATCTCTCAGCTCTACACGACCTTTCTTTCCAAAGTTATACAATTTACAAGAAAAGCCCGAAATTAATTTCTTCTTATTTCTGTAGCTTTGAGCTGACAATGAACATTTAGGGCTTTTCTTGTAAATTTTATAACTTGACAAAGAAAGGTCGTGTAGAGCTGAGAGATATCTCATTTTAATCAAAAATTTGCGGGTACAATTATGTCTCGTTAAGAAAGGTTTTTGTTATTTTTCAGAGTTTCTGAAAAAGTGGTTTTCCAGAAAACTGAGTCTTCAAAAATCATAGGAGAAATTCCTTTTAGCTTTTTACTAGGTCGGTACCCTCTATCGATTGACGTATGAAAGAACGAAATCGGAAGGTGTCACTTTGATAGGTTACCTCGTAAGCATTCACCGCCATAAAACTAGAGAATCGGGATCCGAAAGGTAAAAGGTTTTTCCAGGCTTTTGTTGAGTGTCACCGTCGGTTCTATGGTGTAGCGGTAGCACTCTGGACTTTGAATCCAGCAACCCCAGTTCAAATCTGGGTAGAACCTGATTCTTTTTTTCTTCTGTCCTACACCCTTGCACGTCAACGCATATTTTCATGCGCTGCACTTTTTCATTCCTTCACGTGCGATTCTATTATTTACAGTATGCGAAACGTATTTTTCTTGAAAGTAATGCTTAATTTGATATATATATACATATGTATATATACAATTGTGATTCAAGGCAAGTATTGTGTATCTTACAGTTTCAAACAATATTAAGACGATAAATTCATTTTTCTTTCGCTTCTGAGTGTTTCTGACATAAAAGTTGAAAAAGACGTCAAAGAGAGACTATACGATTAGCGGTCTAAGTGCAAATATCTTGTAAAAATGTCTACTAACTTTTATAGTCAATCGAATAACTGGTCACTTCGACACATGAACTTTAATAGAAAAAATATTTGAAAAATGCACTGTTGTAATGTAAGATCTCGAACGGCTTGTTGTCATATGGTGACATACTCATGTCGCTAATGTTCTTGACTATTCTTCATCTTCAAATACTTAAGTACCGTCTGTTTATACGTCTCAAATTGTGCAACGATATTTCGTGTACACTCCCGAAAATCTTCTTCTAAAAATGTTTGACATAACGATAGTTTTTCGATACTAAACGATTGAATACGCTGGTGAAATAAATTATCTTGAACGTCTAATAACGATGGCGCAGTCATGGCAGTGTCGTGACATAGATGACAAGATATTGATGTTATAAGGTTCACGGGAATAGAAATAAAATATTTGTTTTGAAAGGTAACCAATGCACAATACTAGCTGTGTTGATTCGGGCTTCAGCTGTTTTACACTTGTCATGAATGTTGGATAGTTATGAAATCTTTCTATTGTGGATGAGTTATCTTCAACACCATGTTTATTTCGCTACACACCTGTTGCTAAATTGGACCAGCGTGGACCAGTTAAACAACGATCATTCACTTGATAGTTTAAAGTATAGGCGCCTGTCTCTATTCATCCTCATCCTTTAATTGTTGACCTATCGCCAACTATTCTATTGCATTTAGATATACCGATTGATTTGTATTGGTAGTTACCCGGAAGACTATTGAATATTAAATATTTGCTCAAATCGTGGATTAATTTCTCAAAAGAAATAAAACTTCATGTTCTCTTTGACCGCAAAAACCGGATGGTCATGGGCTGAAGTCAGAGGCTATCAGTCTTGTAGATAATGCAGCCCGTACTCATACGCTTCAAAAAATGCATGTAAAAATACAGCGCAAAGAAAACGCATCCGTCTCTGGCGTTGCGTTAGTGTCACCAAAACAGTACCAAAAAACGTACATTTCTGCAGAAATCTTAAAAAATAATCAACATGGGAATCTGATGTCAAAAGCTACTGCCCGTAGCAGCGACATGAAATGCTACCTAAGGAGTATATTATATCCAATTCCCTTCCTGATGTTCATAAATGATCTGCCGACTTCTCTAGGGGCACCAAAACTGTCATATCTTTTGACGATGTTTTTTGCCTAGTTGATGACGAAAATTTCAGTAAGTCACAAATATGTCTGAAAGTATAAACAAGACGACAAAATGAAGTTAAGTGCTGGCAAAGGTCAATGGACTAGATTTTTAAACGTTCGTTCTTCTAAAAAGATTAGATGGTTTGATGATTATTCCTCCTATAGAGTCCGTAACAGCTCCTAAATTTTCTTCTTATATAAACCTCTTCCGGCAACTCAATAGCATTAACTAATTTTCTGTAAGTATGCATCGGCTGTACGTAACTCCCTCATTTAGGATAATTATGAATAGGCCACAAAAAACGTTCAAAAAATGTCTCAAAAGGTTCCGTTTCCCACTATGAAGCCCATAATATTGCATTTAATTTATTAGCATCAAAAATAGAAAAACAAAAGCTAAATGTGACATGTTACAGTTTATTCACTTTTAAGTATTTTAAAACTGATTGATATGTCAGATGATCGCATGACTGTCCCTGTTGAAGCCGTTGCCTGATTAATGACGAACTAACGTCTTCTACATTTTGTTTACTATCCATCTTTGAAACATAAAAAATATTCGGATCAGCATTTGCGCCATTAATATATTTTTCGTTCGAATTCTGTCGATGAATTACAGCAATTCCTAATTCATCTCTCGCTAATCTATCTATATTACCACATTTATTAAAATGGTCGAGACCGCAGACATATATAACACGTACTGCTTTCTGGAGTAATTTCTGTTGTTTCACAAGTTTATCGTTTAAAAAAACAAAGAGCTGTTCGCATACTTCGGGAAAATCGATGAATTTAGTCGCCATACATTCAGCCCGATCAACACTAATCCAGTGTTCCTGTTTTGCTTCCTTAACTGCTTCATTACACATGGCAATTCGATGTTCTGCTTGTATGTGCTTGTTAAACAGCTTTTCAGCTACATAGTTATCGTGCGTTGGTGATAAATAGCCGGCTAATACATTAAAATTATGCGGAGATCGTTCGAGGTAACTCTTTGTTTGAATCAAATTTAATATATGAGTTTTATGAATAGGATTTAGTGCACCTGTTGTAATTAAAACACAGTTCTCATTACTATTCGGCTGAAGATTAGCAATCAATAAATCTAGATTTGTAGTTTCTTTAGAATGCATATTAGTGATGGTCTAGGAATAAACAAAAGAGGAAACTGTGTTTAAAGCGGAAGAGCAGTTTAATGGCTTACCGATTTTTGAATAAAAATGTCTGGTTTTCGTTGGCTTCGTTTGCTAAGAGCACATCCACCCATGTTAGTATTTCTGAGCCAGAACTGCGAATCGCATATATACGATTAGTCCAACAGATTTTAATATTTTCTGGTCTTCTGCCTCAGTCTAGATGAAGATATGCAGAATTCTGTATCTAAATACGTCACGGGGTGGTTTTCAAGTGAACAGTTGTGTGAAAGCTTAAAACTCGTGGTGGCGTAGGAGAATTTAACGGAGCTGGCGGCTCCCTTCGGCGTAAGAAATTACGCTAAAAGATTAGGCTTTTCCGTTAGTACAGATTTTCATTCGTTTCATTTTTTACTCTGATAGCAGAAAAACGAAATCAGATAAGCTTTCGTTAAATATTCTATATACGATGTTTCTCCATACGCGCGTATAGCTGGTGGCTCTTTTTAGTAGTCTGTTTACAAATATTAAAAATTTTGTAAAAAAAATCTCCGAAAAGTAAGAAATAAAGCATACATAAATGTATTTACCTTTCATGAAAGATAAGACCCCTTTTTATTTTGTACTTTGTAGTTTTATTGTCAGTGAACTTTTACGGCAAGAAACTAATTTAGATTAGTAACTCTGAAATTAATACATAAACGGCTGTATTGTGCTGAACTACTACTCTCAGTTAAAAGCTTCTTCAGACGTGACCCACCATTAAAAGATTGCTTTGACCGTACCAATCAGCTTATTCTCGAGTATATTTGGGCCATGCATAATCTGGAAGTCGGATTACAAACATTCTCTTCCTGGTTTTAGAAAAATCATTGGATGGAATCTCTGAAAAAGTTGTTCAGTAGGAAGGAAACCGTTAAGGGGTCATACGATGAGTCCCCCCAATGCCAAGTCTTATTATGGAGCACAGGCAGAGTGCCGAACCGCAAGAAAGATCACAACCGAAGATTTTGGTTGAAATGAATGATTTTGATTCATCAACAGCTACCGATGGACAAAGATTATCACACAATTGTTATTTTGAATTAATTAGTAGAGCAGTTGGATATGGAGAGATATTAACAAAAATGAGTACAGATTCAGAAGAGGTTGAACTCATGCTGGAACGCACAGTGTTACAAGAAAACAGCGAAAAAATTACCGAAGAAAGAAGCGTTAGATTTGTCTATGAAGATTATTTCAATCCAGTATTACTTGAAGTCGCTAAGCATAATTTATCATTTGAAAATCTCAAAAATGTTTGCCATAAATATGATAAATCTAACACATGAGGCACATCCGACAACATGAGGCAAAAATGATTGAAAATAAATCGTACTTTACAAAGAAAGGACTATCAGACAATGAAGCCCAAGCTGTCGCATTTGCTCTTTCGTTATATACCGGTCCAAAGAGTGAAACCTGTAATCGTACCACTGGTCTGCTCATCCGTAACAAAAATGGCGAAGGACTTGATGTATCGATAAAAGAAGAAATGTACAAAGCTGCTGTTATTTTATATTATTTAGTTAAAGGTTTATCATATATACCATACTACTGGGGTACTGTCACAAGACTATGCCAACTAACTGACCACGAATTAACATATTACATGCCCGAATATTTGATCACATGGATACAATTTAGTAGTTCAAAAAAAGGTACAAGGGAAGTGAGTAACAGTTTGTTTAAAAGACGTAACACAATTTTTAAAATATATTCATTGACCGGTCGCCCAATAAAGCAATTTTCTAACTGGCCGGAGGAAGACGAGGTCTTCTTTTTACCACATTCAACATTCCTCATTAGCAAACTTGAAGTTCAATTCCACGGTACACAACATAATACATATGCGGCAAGTGGAATTAGGATTAAGCAGTTGGTCAGTGTTATGGACTGACGATCAAATATTTGTTGAAAGCTGGGAAAATAAGAAACATATGGAGTTTGCATCAACAAAATCATTAAACTTGAATGTACATTTTATACCGAAATCGACAATAGAAAGTGCACTATCGTTTCTTCGTTCACCGTTTGAAAAATAAAGAAAACTTTCGTATTGTAACCGATATGAATCACACTAATGAAAATCCGGTACACAATGCAGATGCACGTCTTATTAAACAATTGAGACAACTGGGTTTTCAAAATCAATGTATGATATTTACGAGTAACAAACAGAGGGGTGAACAAATCGTTCGACAAGAACTAAGCTTAAATGAACAAAAATTTATCCAAATAACAGCAGACACTATTGACCTAAAAAAATTTGTGAATTTTGATCAAGATTTTAAAATACTGACCCAGTAATTTGAGTGAAATCGTCGATGAGTGAACAAATCCATTAAACAGGGGTGTTTTAAAAATTCACGAGTTAGCCGGAAGTGCTTCTTGTATTCAGCCCATAACATTGATTTGGTATGACACTTGTACTGAACGAAAACATGATGCAGCTAAATTACAACACAACATTAAAATATGTGGTAT